TCCCTTGCCCCTTCCACCATGTGAGGACACAGCAAGAAGACGCCGTCTATGAACCAGGAAGCAGCCCTCACCAGATACTGAATCTGCTGGAGACTTGATCTTGGATTCCTAGAACTGCAAGAAATATAGTTTCTGTTGTTTATAAGTTGCCCAGTCTATGGTATTCAGTTATAGCAGCCCAAACGCTTTAAGACAACCTGTTTCCAATTCTTTGGTGTATGTAACTAGGAAGGGAATTGCAAAGGTATTTAATAGAGAAGGCGGGCATGAAACAGTCCTGATTTTCAGGTAGTGATGAGCATGGTTTCAGGTGTATGAAGTTAAAAATCCCTCTCTCCTTACTGGAAGAGTCAGAAGGAGCTGGCAAGGAGTTTGGTGTGATGGCAGATTGGGGAGGTGTTAAGAGGTGCGGGAAGATCTGGGGAAGAAGGAGGTAGGAGTGGAGGGTGGTTATAACTCCCTTCACAGATGGTCACTTCCTTCCTTGTGTGCTCCTAGCGAAGAGCTGTGTCACCATGGTGTGTGTGTGTGTGTGTGTGTGTGTGAGTCACTCAGTCGTGTCTGATTCTCGGCCACTCCCCTGGACCGTAGCTGGCCAGGTTTCTCTGTCCATGGAATTTTTCGAGGCAAGAATACTGACACTGTTTATTTACATTAGTTCTTTGTTTTGTGAGTACTCTGACAGCAGGATTTTCAGAGAGAATTTGAGCACCACCTTGGGTTGTGTCTTATCTCCAATTTGCTATGACAATTTACCCTAACCCCTCCTTCTGTAAGTTGTCAACAAACTGATATGAAACCATAGCTTTTCTGATTGTACACCTGTGTTCATTACAAAAAAAGGAAAACGTAGACCAAGAGGGCAGAAGCTTTCTCACGACCTGTCACTCAGACCATCAGTGTTGGCATATTTGATGTTCAATTCTAGTCAGTGTGCTCATTCTCTAAGAAATCTGGGAAGGCCCTCCCCAGCACAGCACAGCACTCCAACCTCTTGCATGCCTGCCTCTCCAGCACTAGTGGGAAGCTCTTCTTTTGCATGGGAGCATTTCACAAAAAGCAAATCTATTTCTTGGCCCATAAACTTTCATTCAAAAATGGTGACAGCTTTGAGTCCCGTAGGAAAACAACTGACTACGTTCTTTAATAAGTTAATTTCCTACTTTACTGTTTCGATCAGGGTCAGCAAACTTTTACTACATCAGATGGAAAGTACTTTAGGCTTTGCAGACCTAAAGGTCTTCACCACATAGACAACTTTGCCATCAGAGTGAAAGCAAACACAGACCATTTGTACAAAAAGGGTGTGACTGCGTTTCAATGAAACTTTACATACAGTCATGGGAGAAGGTTCAGATTTGGCTTGGAGTCTGTGTAAGTTTGCCTGATGGCTCAGATGGTAAAGAATCTGTCTATGATGCAGGAGACCCAGGTTGGATCCCTGAGTCGGGAAGTTCCCCTGGAGGAGGAAATGGCAACCCACTCCAGTATTCGTGCCTGGGGAATCCAGAGGAGCCTGGCGGGCTCCAGTCCATCAGGTAGCAGAGTTGGACATCACTGAGCAACTAACACTTTCACTTTCACTGTAGTTTGCCAACCCTGGTTTAGATTTTTTCCAGTTATTTGTGCTCATTCTCAGCACAGTCATGGTAGAGGAGCAGTCACACAGACCTGCCTTTTAGTCTTTTCTTTCGCAATGAATGAATGACATTAATGAATGAAGCAGAGAAAGACGGTGTGGCCGGTGGGGTGGGGGTGGGGGTGGGCACAAGAAATGGTCCTGCACCCCCTCCCATCATAGGGGTTATCACACAGAGTGGTTCCAACTCTCGGGGTCACTGGGCAATGTCCAGACACATCTTTGGTTGGAAGAATGCTACTGGACATGGCGAACAAAGGGCAGGGATGCTACTCAACATCCCTCCATGTGCAGGATGGCCTCCACTGCAAAAAATGATCTGGCTCCAAACATCAACAATGCTGAGATTGAGACCATAACTTAAACACAAGCATGAGAATTTAGAAAGCCTGTCTGGGGACTTTCCTGGTGGTCCAGTGACTAAGACTCCATGTTCCCAGTGCAGGCAGTCCAAGTTCAATCCCTGGCCAGGCAACTAGATCTCAACATGATGCAATGTAGGAAACCCGGATTCAATCCTTGGGTTGGGAAGATCCCCCTGGAGAAGGAAATGGCAACCCACTCCAGTATTCTTGCCTGGAGAATCCCATGGACAGAGGAGCCTGGCGGGCTACAGTCTGTGGAGTCGCAAAGAATTGGACACCACTGAACAACTAACACTGTTGTACCTAAAGATTCCCACATACTGCAACAAAGATCAAAGATACCATGTGCTGCAACTGAGACCCAGCGCAGCCAAATAAATAAATAAAAATAAATATTTTTAAAAAGAGTGAGCTCCACTGGAGCTCACATCCTGGAAATGTGATACATGCAGATGAGAAAGTATTTGACCTAAATGTTAAAGGAACACAAAGATGCAACAAGAATCACAAGCAAGCATTCCTCCCACCTCAAGGTTCCCAGTGACTCCACCCTAGAGACAGCTTCTCTCTCAACATATTTTTCTTTATCTTTTCAGGCTTTTAGAAATTTTAACATTAATCATTCCACACCCTACACATTATTTTGATTTATTTTCATTTAAAAATTCATGGGAACCAGTCCATGTGATTTCTTTTCACAATGAATAGCTGTTCTTTGAAGAGTTTTCAGTTTAGTTCTTAACACGACAGAACATACTTTACATACCATCTGTTTGTTCTGCAGCTCTCTGGGGTGCACATGTGCTAAGTTACTTCATAGCCCTTGCTAAATTGAGGCATGTGGGACACCACTGCCCATTGTAGACAGTGGGTGGCATAATTTCACAATTGTTTAACAGAGGCTAAAAGATGAAGGGAACTACAGGGAAGATGAATAGTCTAAAAGCTGCTAGAGAAAGGAGGAAGAGCAGAGGGAAAAGAAAGCATGCAGCAGGATATTAGACACTTATATCCTGAATATAGGGCCACAGGAGGGCTTGGCCTAAGGGCCAGAAGCTTGGACTGTCATTGGTGGAGGTGGGGAAGGCTGCAGGAGGGTTGTATATATGAACGTGCTTACTACCGTCAAGTGTACCATTGAAGAGCCTTCACTGCGGTCCAGTGGTTAAGAACCCGCCTTTCAATGCAAGGGATGCAAGTTTGATCCTTGGTCAGGAAACGAGGTCCCCCGTGTGCCACGGAGCAGCAAAACCTGAACTATAATTTCTAAGCCCACACAAATGGTGGAAGAAAATGGGACAGGATGTGGAGACGTTTCTGGGACTCTGATATAGGAGCTCCACGGGAAACTCCAGAGGGCTTCAAATGGATTTGGAGATATAAGAATGGAAGGGTTGGGAGTGTGGATGCAAATTGGGAGGTTTAAACCAGCTTGCTGGGAAAAGGTTGTGGGTTTTGTGGGAATGGCTCCTTCGTCTGAGTGGGGACACCTGTACCAACCTACAGCTGTAAATCCACACCCTACTGATGGAGGCCCCAGAGGCCCCTGTGAGGAGGGGAAGTGTTGGCAGGGTTAAGGTGAAAGGGGGACCAAAGAGAGGCTATTTACACAGGCTTTGGGTTAAAAAGGCCACATTTCTTTAAACTAAAAGCATCATGGGGGGACTTCCCTGGTGCTCCAGTGGCTAAGAGCTGGAGCTCCCAATGCAGGGGCCCAGGTTAGATCTCTGGTCAGGGAACTAAGATCCCACATGCCAAGGGGCACCTAAGGCCACGTACTGCAACTACTGAACCTGCATCCCACAATGAGAGTGCCCACACAGCCAGAAGTTAAATAGTAAATTTTAAAAATGATAAAAATATTTTTTCAATGATAAAAACTTAAGAATAATGTAAACAAAAAATAAGTGCCATGGGGATGGATCCTACATCTCACTGGGCACCGCTCCCCCTCCCTGGTGTCCCAGCACAGAAGGTGTGTAGACAGGAGGTGCGGCACGTGGGAACTAGGAAGACTGCCCGGGCCCACGTGGTGAGCACGGGAGCCAGGGCCGGGCTCGGCGCAGTCCCTGTGCCACAGTCCTGAGTGGGGTGCAGATGGCAGCTACAAGACCCTGTAGGGGTGCCCCCAGCACGGCCACCAGGGCTCTGGACTGCAGGGAGAATCCCCACTTGAGGGCCAACTCCTAACCCGCTGTCGGTCATTCAGCAGAACCACCCGGTGACGGAAGGACATGAAGCCATCTTGAAAGTGAAATACAGCTGACTCTTGAACGGCACTGGGTTAGAGGCTCCACAATCAAAAATCTTCACAGAATTTATGCCTCCGTACCCACAAGTTCTGAAACGTGGATCCTCCCAACCAAGGACTGCATCACACTACACAGTATTTGAGCTTCCCTGGCGGCTCAGTGGTAAAGAATCCGTCTGCAATGCAGGAGATGTGCATTCAGTCCTTGGGTTCAGAAGGTCCCCTGGAGGAGGAAATGGCAACCCACTCCAATATTCTTGCCTGGGAAATCCCATGGACAGAAGAGCCTGGTGGGCTACAGTCCATGGGGTCACAAAAGAGTCAGAAAAGACTCAGCAACTAAGCCATCATGTAGAATTTACTACTGAAAAAGATCCATGTATAAGTGACCTGCAGTTCAAACCTACACTGTTCAAGGGTCAACAGGTCATAATGTCTGGGAGGTTCTGAGGTTCAGGACCAGCTTTTCAGAAAAAGCTGGGACAACACGCGCCTTCTTCTGCCCCTTACAGAAAAGCCAAGGTTCCATTGCAAAACAGTTTTATTTGTTAAATTATCAAATGAGATTATCACACAAAAATAACTACATGGCTAGGCTAAGTACATAAAGTGCTCAAGTTTCAAGAACCTGGGCGGGTCGCTGCAGGTTCCCCACCTTCGGAACAAGGGACACGGGACATACTTCCTTCCCCATGGGGTGCAGTAATGTCCGTGCTTGGGCTGGGGACACACTCTGCATGTGGATTCACAGCTCGTCGTGGTCCAAGGGGCTCCTGACCTCTTCCTGAGCTTCCCCGCCAGTGGCCTCCTTGGGATTAAAATACCACCGGCTGAGGGCCTTGGGGCTCTGGGCCTCTTCCCAGACCTCCTGGTTGATTAAGGCTGCCTCTTTACTTGCCTCGGCGGAAAGTTCCAGAACCTGGTTGAAGCTCCTGCATCAACAAGAAGACGATGGAATCTTTTCACCACCCCTACCAGCCTTCCCGAGCGCCTATGAGGCTGCCACATGGGGGAGACAGGTTCAGGGTGACCCTCCTTGGGCTCGTGGGAAAGCGTGGGTGAGTAAGATTTGTCTGAGCAGAACTCAAACAGCAAAGCCTCTAGAACAGGACTGGCCAGGTGTGAAGGAAAAGAGTCGTTTACTCGACAAATATTTAAGGAGTACCAACACCGTGCCAGGAACCGTCCTAAGGTCGGGAGGCAGAGCCGTGAATGGGGCACCGTCCCAGGGATCCCACGACGTACACAGCAGTGGGGAAGCCGGCGTAAAACGTGCTTTCCCATTCGTGTGTTTTCCATTCACTCCTGTGATCCTCATTCCCATTCCCATTCCCAAATGAGCATGTTTCCCATTCACCCCTGCGACCCTGGTAGCCTAGAATCTGTCAGCGTGTCTGATTTCACCCCAGGCACACAGAGCGAGGTGATGCCGTAGCAGGTAGTATTTATCGTGAGGACCTTTCGAACTCTCCAGGCACCTTGGGAAGTGCATTTGGCATCATAAAGGAGAAGGAAACCAGACCCTCTTTTGGGAGAGGTGGAGGAAAGCCCAATGACTGGAAAAGCCCCGTGGGCGGGGAGGAAGGCAGCTCTGTGGGGCTGGCCAACGGCTGCATGGGCCTGGGTCCTGGTCACACAAGGGCGCCTGTTTGTGAGAGCCGCTGTCACCACCTGTGGCTTCTCCACATGGATTTAGACACTAATGAGAGGTTCCAAGGTCTCTCAAAGCCCCTGTTCTGAAAGACACATAAAGACCAATCTAAGGGCCCCTGATGTGCCATGTTACCCTGGGGAAGTGATAGTCCCTTTCTATTTTGGCTGCTCAAGCACACACACAGGGGACTTCCCTGGTGGTCTAGTGGTTAAGACTTCACCTTCCAATGCAAGGGCTGTGGATTCAACCCCTGGTTGGGGTGCTAAGATTCCACATGCCTCCCATGCCAAAAAACCAAAACATCAAACAGAAGCAATGTTGTAACAAACTCAATAAAGACTTTAAAACCGTCCATATCAAACAACAAAAACAAAAAATTTCTCAGAAAAAGAACACAGACCAGGGTTTTCTTGGGTTGCAAGAATCTTGCTCTCTCCCTGCCTCGCTGGACCTTTGTACCCTTGGCCCCTGGAAATATCACAGCTGCCCACCCTCCAGAGCACAGCAAACCCTCCACAGAGCAGTTGCCAACAGCCCCTCTCTGCCCGAAGGGGAGGTGGCAGGGAGGGGTGCTATCTTTCTCTTAAACTATTTTCTGCAATACCTTCGGAGCTCCAGGTCCTTCTTCTGGATCACCTCCCTGAGTTCCCTCATCATGTCAAATGCCTTCACATTGTCTTCTGAGCTGCCAATGCCAAGTTCTCCCAGCAGATGGCGTGTGGTCGTCAATTCCCGCTGCAACTCGTCTGGAGGGAAAAAGGGGTCGTCAACCACAGTTTCAAGGCGCCCCAAGCAATGGACGCACGAGCTGGGTGGCCAACTAGATTTTTCTCCTTTTGCTGGAATGTTCTCGTGTGATGCCAGAGTCGTGAAAGGACTGAAGGAAGAAAGGGCAGTGAAGGAAGACATTCATGCAAGGGCACCGCCTCTGTGCCCCTTTGCCTGAGATCACAGGGGTCTGAGACGATGGGTCAGGTGTGTCTGCCATCCAGGAAGTTACGGAAACATACCTGAAATGGCATACTGGTGTCCTCTCTACAGAAACGAATGCATAAGACAGAGAAGATCTGGGCGAGAAGTAACTTAAGAACAAACCCGTGGTTTCCATTCCCCGGTCCCACCACTTCTGCACCCGCTCCCCACATCACCCCCATGTAGAAAGCCACCTGCAAGAGCACTGGGTCCCCCACCTGCTCCAGCAAAACCAGCATTTCTGAGTCTGGTACAAGTCCCAACACTACACGTCACAACTGTACGTTATAACACTTGGGGACCCTTGTAAGGGTTCTTCTTATCAACACACATCTTTGCCGACAGACTGAACTGTGTCCTCCCCAAAAGCCATGTTCAGGTCTTAATCTCAGGTACCTGTGAACGTGACCTAGCTGGAAATGAGGTCTCCAGAGATGTAACTGAATTAGAAGGAAGTCATTAGAGAGGGGCCTGATCCAGCAACTGGTGTTCTTGTAAGAAAGGGGGAGTTCAGACAAGGAGTCTCAGAAACAAGGCCCTGTGAAGACAGAGGCAGTGCTGCAACACTGTAATAAAAAACAAAAAACAAAGCCAAAATAAACTTAATAACAACAGGGATTTCCCTGGCGGTCCCGCCTGCCAACACAAGGGACATGGGTTCAATCCCTGATCTTCAGTTGCCTCGGGGCAACTAAGCCGTAGGCCACAAGTCCTGAAGACCGTGCACCTACAGCCCGTGGTCAGAAACAAGGAGCCCGCACACAGAAGCGAGAGGAGCCCCCTGCTTCCGACAACTAGAGAAAACCACAAAGACCCAGTGCAGCCAAAAAGAAAATAAATCATTAAATACAAAACAAATAAAAGGAACAGCTGGGGGAAAAAAGAGAGAGAGGGGCAGAGTTTGGAGAAATGCTCCACCAGGGAACACCTGCCAGAACACTGAAGCCAGGAGAGAGGCATTCTCCACCAGAGATTCCAGAAGCATCCAACCCCAATGTGACCCCCTCAACTGGGAGGGAACACTTATTTGTTGTTTTCAGCCACTCCGTTTGTGCTGTTTTGTTACAGAAGCCCTAAGAAACTCAAACAGTCCCCAATCCCAACTCCTCCCAACTATCTAAGGAATTTATCAGACATGGAGACCGAGAGTTACAAATAAAATTAGAAACCTGGACACTGATGATGGTTCAACAAGGCTCATTTTTCAAGGTCCTGTGCCATACATACACCATTTCACATTGGAAAAGGCTTGATTTTACATCAGCTTCAAACAAAGCATATTCAAGTGGCTCATGAGAGCTCAGCTTAGAAATTACCAAACTATGCCATGTGAACCAGCAATTTCACTCCCAGGCATTTATCTAGACAAAACTTTAATTCAAAAAGATACATGCACTCCTATCTTCATAGTAGCACTATTCACAACAGCCAAGACAAAGAAGTGAAGTAAATGTCCACCAACAGATGAATGAATAAAGATGACGTGGCACATACACACAGTGGGATACTACTCAGTCATGAAAAAGCATGAACTACGCCACTGCAGCAGCATGGATGGGCCCAGAGGTCATCGCACTCAGGGCAGTGAGCCAGGCAAAGACAAACGTCATATGTCACCCATTATGGTGGAATGTTAAAAAAAAAAATGGGTACAAATGAACTTATCTACAAAAGAGAAACAGACTCACAGACACAGAGAATAGACTGGTGGTTACCAAGCAGCAGTGGGTTGGGAGAGAGATGGAGTGAAGTCTGAGATTCAGTTCAGTTTAGTTCAGTTGCTCAGTCGGGTCCAACTCTTTGCGACCCCATGGACTGCAGCACGCCAGGCTTCCCTGTCCAGCACCAACTCCTGGAGCTTGCTCAAACTCACATCCATCGAGTTGCTGATGCCATCCAACCATCTCATCCTCTGTTGTCCCCTCCTCCTCCTGTCTTCAGTCTTTCCCAGTGTCAGGGTCTTTTACAGTGAGTCGGTTCTTCTCATCAGGTGGCCAAAGTATTGGAGTTTCAGCTTTAGCATCAGTCCTTCCAATGAATATTCAGGACTGATCTCCTTTAGGATTGACTGATTTGATCTCCTTGCAGTCCAAGGGACTCTCAATAGTCTTCTGCAACACCACAGTTCAAAAGCATCAATTCTTCAGCACTCAGCTTTCTTTATGATCCAAGTCTCACATCCATACATGACAAGTGAAAAAACCATAGCTTTAACTATATGGACCTTTGTCAGCAAAGTAATGTCTCTGGCTTTTTAATATCCCGTGTAGGTTGGTCATAGCTTTTCTTCCAAGGAGCCAAGGTCTTTGAATTTCATGGCCGCAGTTACCATCTGTAGTATTTTGGAGCCCCCCCCGCCCCAAAATAAAGTCTGTCACTGTTTCCATTGTTTCCCCATCTATTTGCCATGAAATGATGGGACTAGATGCCATAATGGTAGGAATGTTGAGTTTTAAGCCAACTTTTTCCACTCTTCTCTTTCACTTTCATCAAGAGGCTCTTTAGTTCTTCGTCACTTTCTTCCATAAGGGTGGTGGTGTCTGCGTATCTGAGGTAATTGATATTTCTCCCAGCAATCTTGATTACAGTTTTCACTTCATCCAGCCAGGCATTTCACATAATGTACTCTGCAGAGAAGTTAAATAAGCAGGGTGACAACACCTTGACGTAACAAAGCCCTGACATACTCTTTTTCCAACTTGGAACCATGTCCATGTCCGGTTCTAATCGTTGCTTCTTGACCTGCATATAGATTTCTCAGGAGGCAGGTCAGGTGGTCTGGTATTCCTATCTCTTGAAGAATTTTCCAATTTGTTGTGATCCACACAGTCAAAGGCTCTGGCATAGTCATTAAAGCAGAAGTAAATGTTTTTCTGGAACTCTCTTGCTGTTTTGATGATCAATCGGATGTTGGCAATTTGATCTCTGGCTCATCTATCTTTTCTAAATCCAGCTTGAACAACTGGAAGTTCAGGGTTTACGTACTGTTGCAGCCTGGCTTGGAGAATTTTGGGCATTACTTTACTAGTGTGTGAGATGGGTGCAATTGTGCAGTAGTTTGAGCATTCTTTGGCATTGCTCTTCTTTGGGACTGGAATGAAAACTGACCTTTTCCAGTCCTGTGGTCACTGCTGAGTTTTCCAAATTTGCTGGCATTGGAGTACAGCACTTTTACATTTTTGATGATGCAGCACTTTTACATCATCTTTAAGGACTTGAAATAGCTCAACCAGAATTCCATCACTAGCTTTGTTAGTAATGATGCTTCCTAAGGCCCACCTGACTTCGCATTCCAGGATGTCTGGCTCTAGGTAAGTGATCACACTATCATGGAGTGGGCTGCCATTTCCTTCTCCATAACCATAATGGAAGAGAATATAAAAAATGATTTTTTTTTATATATACACACACACACACATATATATATGTAGAGTTGAATTGGGCTTCCCTGGTGGTTCAGCAGTAAAGAACCTCTCTGCCAAAGCAGGAGACCTGGGTTCGATCACTGGATGGGGAAGAGCCCCTGGAGGAAGAAATGGCAACCCACTCCAGTGTTCTTGCCTGGAGAATCCCATGGACAGAGGAGCCTGGTGAGCTACAGTCCATGGGGTCACAAAGAGTCAGACACGACTGAGCACACATGCGTGGCTGAATCACTTTGCTGCACAGCAGAAATTAACACAACACTAATTCAATTATACTTAAATGAGGACGGAAGGAAGGGAGATAGAAAGTGGGAGAGAAAGGAAGGAAAGAAGGAGGCAAACTCTAGGACAGCTGAAAACTTGCTTGAGAAAGAGACTTGTTCTAAAGAGAACCGTAGGGTCTTGGATGGTGCTCTTCACACCTGCCAACTTCTTCAAGTGAAGTATTAGATGGGAACGCCCTACGGGAAAGGTACCATCTCCGCTCCACTTAGAAGACAGGACAAGGTAGGGGATGGTGGGCCTGTGGTTTCCCAGCTGCCAAAGCACCTCACAAGATCTGCCCCAGCCTGAGAGATGGCAGGCTCCCCAGCACGCTTTTCAGGGCAGGAGATCACTGAAGGGTCATCCTACAAACCTGGGGTCAAATCCCAACGCAGCTCTGACTCAGGACCCGACCCTGAGCAAATGTCAGCCTCACCGGCCCCCCGCATCCTCTGCCATTTGACGGGGGACACACCATCTCCTTGTGAGGAGGCCTGGGACATGACACAGAGGGATAAAGGGACCCAGGACCCAGCAGATGCCAACATGCAGCAGTGACTTGTCCTGCCCCTTGCCCAGCAGCCGCCCAGCTCTCACCTAAGAAGAGCTGCCTGTCTCCGTCCAGGTGGACTGATTTCACGGGCAGCTCATGCCGTGTGGTGTCCAGGGCCGTTGCGAATGTCTTGTACTGTTCCCGAAAGCGGCTGACCACAGCCTCCAAGGGGCTCAGCATCTCAATCTGCAGGCAGGGAGGGAAGAGCCTATGAGTTGAAGCCCTGCGCTCCCCTCCTGGCAAGCTCACAGGACGGCACGTGTGAGGTAAAGATTCAGCACTGTTCTGGGACTTCCCTGGGGGTCCAGAGGTGAAGACTCCACACTTGGGAGTGCTTCCACTGCGGGGGATGTGGGTTCGATCCCTGGTTGGGGAATCTCAGATCCCACGGGCTGCACGGTGCAGGCAAAAGTACAAGAAAATAAAAATAAAGAAACTGATTGTTGTTCAGTTGCTAAGTCGTGTCCGTCTCTTTGAAAGCCCCTGGACCGCAGCACTCCAGGCTCCTTTGCCCTCCACTATCTCCCCGAGCTTGCTCAGTTTCCTGTCCATCGAGTCAGTGATGCGGATACCACCATTTAAGAACTGGCCGCACCATTTAGAACATCTGATTAGACAAACCTTGATAAAAAGACGCAGCACTGGCCCTGCCAGGTCTCCCTGGGCAGCTTCCGGGGGGGCGGGCTCTCCCCAGTCCCAGCTGGCCGGTAGCAAGGTGGCCCAGGCCTCCTCACCAGGAACATGTGCTGGCCTTGCAGCATGTTCCAGGGCTGAGCCCTCGACTGGGATCATGGTGGACCCAGGAAGGCTCGGCCCTCCTGTTTCAGAGCATGGAGCTGACAGGCCTCCACCCACCAAGGCCATGCCTGCCAAGCCTTCTTTCCTGATACACGCTGTCTGGGGGTTGTAAGGATTCGTTTGCGTGATTATCTTTTCTTTTTCTTCTACTGTGAGGTCCAGGAGGACAGGGACCCCGTTTTCAGCTTGGGGCCAGGCCACAGAGAATACTCACAAGCATGTGCTGGGTGTCACGGGCTGGACTTGTTCTCACAAACTCCTTGGTTGATACCCCAACCCCCAGCACCTCAGAACATGACCTGACCTGGAGACTTTACAGAGGTAGTCCAGTTAAGGTGGGGTCGTTAAGCTGGGCCCTGATCAGTATGACAGGTGTCCTCATTAAAAGGGGCAATGTGGAGACTGACGCTCACGGGGAGAAGGCCAGGTGACAATGAGACCCAGGGAGCAGATGGCCGCTGACAAGCCAAGGACAGAGGCTGGAACATATCCTTCCCTCACGGCCCTCGGATGGAACCCACCCTGCTGACACCTTGATCTCAGATGCACAGCCTCCAGAATGAAGGGAGAATAAGTGTCACTTGTTTAAGCTGCCACCCCATCTGTTGTCCTTTGTTATGGTGGCCCCAGACACACACTTCCTGGGTGAGGAGCCCCATTTCCTGATCGACACTTCCTAGGTTCCCAGGGTTCACTGGGACCTTTCTTGACATGGACATTCCCGTCCATTCAGCACCAAGCTTGAATCTCCCACCAGCACCCTGGCCCACCTGGGCCGACCAGAACATGTCTCTTTTTTTTTTTTGCCACACCCCATGGCATGTGGGACCTCAGTTTCCCAACCAGGGATGGAATGCATGCCCCGGGCACTGGAAGGTGGAGTGTTAACCAGCAGACCACTGGAGAAGTCTCCCAGTGCCCATGTGTGTTAAAGAGATAGGCCCATTGGCAGGGTGGTTCTGACACTGTTCTGACATTACCGCCACGTCCTCTGATAAACTGCCACACAGAAATACCCAGTGGTGTCAAAAGCCGAGCACAGAGTTGAAGCCAAATGAGGAGGGACACTCACAATAAAGGCTCTCTCCGACCCCCCCCGAAGGATGATGCTGCTGGGACATGAGGCTCGGAGGCCGTGGTCACCCCTGACCTGTGCATCCAGGAAGTCCTCCAGCTCCCTCTTCTTCTGACAGAGGAGAAGCCTGCGCTTCAACTCATAAGCCTTTTTCTGGAGTTTCTCTTTCTCTTTACACAATATTTCTAGGTTCTTTTCTGCCTGTTCCTCGAATGCAGACAGGCCATTCTCCATCTGGGAAATGCAAAACAAAAGTTCAGGCCAGAGGCGACCCTGCCTCCATGGCTGACAGCGGCCACCCTTCCATCTGCAACGCACAGGAAAAGAGGCTCCATCCTTACCTTCACGGTCAGCAGGGTCAGAAGGAGAGTCTGGGACTCCATCATTTCCATCGCTTGTGATAGATCCTTCAGGAGAAGAAAAAGATACTCCCAGTTCCCCAAGAACTGATATAAATCCAGTTCTCTCCCCCGGGAGAGAAGGGGCAGAACCCTAACCCATGTGCACTATCTCCAAACTAGTAATCTGCTGCTTCTCGACTGTGTATCACCAAGCGGGCTCTATTTTCTCACTTCGTCTTTTGGGGCCTCTGTGAAAGGACGAGGGTGCTCTTTGGTCCCTTTCTGGCAGTTGGGTGGTCTAGTGCCAGCTGGACCCAGTCACCCACTGGGTTGGTCACCCACCAACCCGGTGACCCACCAGAACCAGGACTAGGGGTTCCCCCACGGGTGAGACCACAGCCCAGCCACCTTCCCTGCCATGGTCGGGACCTAGCCTATAGACCGCCTGAGTGTGGCGCCAGAAAACCAGACCCCAATCTCATTTTTCACATGACCCTGAACTTTATCTCTTCCCAGAGGTGTATACTTGGGAAGATGAAACTGTAAATCCTCTAAGAATGTTGTGGTTTTTGTCCTAAAAGACATAGCTGGCTTGTTCATTCTTGGAGCAAGGCATCGAGGGGCACCTGGCATAAGGCAGGAGTTGGGACAGACTTAGTCAACCTGCAGCAGCAGCTTCCCTCTCATTCCGGACACTCACTGGGCTCTTTTCACTCACGGTGGAAGATGATGACAACTCAGCTTTCTTTGACTTTTTTTTTAATTGCGGAGTCTTTCGGACCACACTTTTATCTAAGATGAAGAAAAGTGTTATCCATAAAGTGAAAAGACACAGGCCACCCAATGTTCACTGCAGCACTATTTACAAGAGCCAAGACATGTAAGCAACTAAATGTCCATAGACAGATGAATGGATAAAGGAGATGTAGTATGTATCTGGGGCTTTCCTAACAGCTCAGATGGTAACGACTATGCCTGCAATGCAGGCCACCTAGGTGCGATTCCTGGGTTGGAAAGATCCCCTGGAGAAGGAAATGCCAACCCACTCCAGATTTCTTGCCTGGAAAATCCTGTGGACAGAGGAGCTTGGCGGGCTACAGTCCATTGGGTCGCAAAGAGTCAGACGTGACTAAGCGACTAACACTAGTATATATCTACAATGGAATATTATTCGGCTGTAAAAAGAATGAAATAATTCTATTTGCAGCAACATGGATGGACCTAGAGATTATCATACTAAAGAAGTCAGACAGAGAAAGACAAATATCATATGATTATCACTTAATGTGGAATCTAAAAAAAAAAAAAGAACTTATATACAAAATGGAAACAGACCCACTGACAGAGAAAACAAACTTATGGTTACCAAAGAGGAAAGGTGGGGGGGATAAATTAGGAAGTTGGAATTAACATTTAAAATAGATACCCAATAAGGACCTACTGTACGCAAGGGAACTATACTCAGTATTTTGTATACTCAGTATAACAGGGAGGCCTGTATTTTATAATAACATATAAGGAAAAAGAATCTACATAAATATAATCTTTATATATATATATACACACACACATACATATATATGAATCACTGCATTATATATCTGAAACTTACACAACATTGTAAATCAACTATACTTTTAAAAAAAAAGTGTTTCTAAGGTGAGAAGAGCAGACTTTGGAAGACCTCAGGGAGGCACTGCAACCCCCAGCAGGGGAATGGACGGGGACAGTGAATGACTCACCATGAATGGCTGAGAGATCCAGGTCAGACAAGGCAGTGTCATGCCCATCCAGCAAGGTAGACTGCAGGTTGCCTTTGTCACCTCCACTGCCATCTACGGGACCCAAGGAGAATTCCGGGAGTCAGCACAGGTAGCAAGATGCTCTACACCTAAGCCTGGAAGCAGGAGACTTTTCTCTACAATACCACCTGCTTCCAAAAACTGTTTCTTGCAAAGAAGCAGTAGAGAAGGCTGAAAAAAACCTTTGGAAATTCCCACCCACCAACTTGAATATATTTTAAAGTAGAACTAGAAAAGAGAGGCATTCTTTATGACCAAAAGACACAAATAAGCCTTTCTGCTTAGTTTAAATAAAAGATGCTGTGTACATACGAAGGTATAAAACATAAATAGACCTAAGACCTACTCTATAGCACAGAGAACTACACTCAATAGTTTGTAATGACCTATAAGGGAAAAGAATCGGAAAAAGAATAGACATAATATAGAATAGACACTTAGCATAGAATAGACATTTAGTATACATATAACTAAATCACTGGGCTTTACAGTTGAAACTAATACAGCACTGTAAATCAATTATCCTTCAATAGAAAGATAAACATAGGGAATTCCCTGGCAGTCCAGTGGTGAGGAATCCACGTTCTCACTGCTAGGGCCCTGGGCTTGACCCTGGTTGTAGAACCAAGATCCTGAAAGCTGTGTGGTGCAGTGAAAAATAAATAAAGAAAAACAAAATAAACTTATAAACAAACAAACAAGATGCTGTGCTCAGAGAGTTCTCCAGGCAAGAACACTGGAGTGGGTAGCCATTCCCTTCTCCCAGGGGATCTTTCCAACCCAGGGAAGGAACCTTGGTCGCCTGCACTGCAGGCAGATTCTGCCATCTGAGTCACCAGGGAAAGCCAAGAGTCCAATAGCATGCAATATACATGTTCTGCCCTCTGCTCTTTTTCTCTTTCTCTTGTAGCTTCATTTTTTAGCCTCTGTTTAAAAATGTGAAATTACACCTTGTACTGTCTAAAATGGGCACTTGGTGAACTGCAGGTTTCAATTAAACAAGGCTTCCAGAAGGCTGCAGAATGAGCAAATAGTATATAAAATACAGCCATGTTAGCAAGTAAACAGAAAACTCTTCAATGAACAACTATGCAGTTGAGGAAACAAAAGCAAAGTGACAAAAAGTATAGATGGTGGTACCTTTTGTGTTCAAATGTTCATTAGATAAACAAAACTCTATCAAGAGCAGTTGGTTGCTTCCTAGGTGAGGAATGGGAACTAGAGGTAGGAGATGGTGACTTTTTCTGTTTCCACTGGTTGAATGTTCTGTCATCTGCCTGTATAGCATTTCCATTAAGAAAAGTTCAAGCCATACAGTGGAACTCAAGCAGTCCCTCTAAATTATCATGGCTATGTTTAAATTATAATTCTGTCTTGGCACTACTGACATGGCGGGGGGCAGCATAGATCATTCTTCTTTGTGGGGCCATCCTGTGCCCTGAGGGTGTCAATCCCTGGCCTCCACCCACCAGCATCCCATACCTCCCCCTTCGATAACCCCAGCTGAGAACCCTGAGTTATAAATGTGGCAGGCCCAGTTTTTGGCCCCTCTGACCATGCCAGCTTTCCCAGCCTCACACATGGCCCTCAACCCAACTGCGCGGGAAAAGCCTAGAAGGCTGGCTCCAGCTCCATGTGCCCGCTTCTCAATCGTGCCTGAGTCAAGGAACAGGATAATTGCTGACAAACAGCTAAAACAGGATCAGCTGTTTATTAGGACACAGACATGCCCATTTGTGTACACATGGTCTGTGGCTGTTTTCGTGCTGAGAAAGGCAGTTAACTGTTTGGTGACAGAGGCTGTCTGGCCTGCAGTCTAAAATATTTGCCACTGGCTCAGAAAAGTTTTGCTGACCCTTGATCTCAACAATAAAGCAGGAAATCTAAGTCGTAAAAGAACATATTTAGTTTTCTCCTATGGGACTCAAAGTTATTGTCATTTTGAATGAGGGTTTGTGGGCCAAAAAAGCTTTGCTTTTTGTGAACTGCTCTTCTACAAGAGAATACCTGCCCACTACCACTGGTGAGGCAGGCACAGGAGGAGTTGGATGATGTGCTACTTTGGGGAGGAGGCTTCCCCAACTTCTAGAATGAGCATACTGACTAGGACTGAATAGCAAATACACCAATAATGATCCTCTGAAGTAGGTCATGGGTGAGCTTCTGCCCTCCTGGGCTACATTCCCCCTTTTCCTTGGTCACACGGCATGTGGGATCTTAGTTCCCCGACCAGTGATCAAACTCATGCCCCATCCCCCGACTCCCGTGGAAGCACAGTCTTAACCACTGGACCGCTAAGGAAGTCCCCATTACCCATTTTTTAAATAACCAACACATGACACGTCTACAATCAGAAAATGTGAAAGTGTTTCGTATCGCTCTGGTGACAGCTTTTAGGAGACGATCCAACCCAAGACAGTGAGAGGCAGGAGGAGGGTGTGGCCTCATACCCTCCCTGAAAGTCCTGCTCTCAGAGCTCTGGTGGGGAAACGGTCACGAGAGCAAGGAACTGGGGCCACAGGGGAGCACCATGATGGCAATGCGGCTCTTCTCTGGGGCCGCCCGGCAAGGAAGGGACCGGCCCCCTCGTTCCTCTGCCACCCCCTGCAGCTCCTCACACAGCCCAAATCAGTCTTTGTACTGAAACTCTGCCTAGTTCCTTTCCTTCATGCTCCCCATGAAGGCAAGGGAGTTTTAACCCAGCATACTTGGAAACAAAATTCACCACCATGCTCATCACCACCTGAGCCTCGGAGCTCTTTCACGCCCTCCCTGTATCTTTACCCACCTTTGCTCTTTTGGAGCTGGCTGGATTTTGTTCCACCTTCAGGCATCGTCCCACCGGCCTTTAATGCATCTGCTGCAGAAGCCTATTAGGGGAATATGTGACCTTCAGGGGACAAGACACCTTCCATCCTGCCGTCTGCAAAGCCTGCATCTGCTCTTACTCGGAGGCAAGGGGATAGACTCAAGGAGTTCTGACATTTAATTGCATATATACAGGATGAGGGCTTCCCAGGCAGTGCTAGTGGTGAAGAACCCACCTGCCAATGCAGGAGACATAAGAGATGTGGTTCAACCCCTGGGTTGGGAAGATCCCCTGGAGGAGGGCATGGCAACCCACTCCAATACTCTTGCCTGGAGGATCCCATGGGCAGAGGAGCCTGGCAGGCTACAATCCATGGGGCCACAAAGAGTGGGACACGAGTGAAGCAACTTAGCATGAATGCCCACACATACAGGATAAATGTTACTTTTTTCAAAAAGGATACCATCATATCCATTGAACATAGGAAACAATCAAAAATTTGCTGGCGGTGATATCTGACATGGCAGATTACAGATGACTGATTTTCTGTATACTTTTTAGTATTGCCCAGTTTTACAGAGAGAACATATTAATTCGGTAGTCAGAAAAAACAAAGCTTCTGTACAGGTCTTACTCTTCAAAAATTATAAAAAAGCAAAGAACACTTGGAGCTGGCAAGCCATCATAGTAATATAAAAGCAAAAAGAAAACCTTGTAAAGAGTGAAAATATTTTGATGTATAGACATCACTCCTATTCAGCCTCCCAACAGAGGTCTGAGAATAAGAAATAAAAGGCAAGCGAGTTACAAAAGAAAAAAAAAAACTCCCTTCTTGCAGACAGGATACTTCACATAGAAAATCCCAAAAGAGGTTTAGAACCACTGCTAAAATTAGAAAGTAAGTTTAGTAAGTTTGCAGGATACAGGGCCAATATAAAAATATACTTCTGGCAATGAACAACTTTGCGACCCCATGGACTGTAGCCCACCAGGCTCCTTTGTCCATGGTATTATCCAGGCGTGAATACTGAATGGGTTGCCATCTTCTCCGCCAGGGGACCTTCGAACCCACGAATCAAGACTGGGCTTCCTGCATTGCAGGTAGATTCTTTTACCACTAAGCCACCTAGGAAGTCCCCCCTCCCCCGTATGCTGGACACCTAAAACCAATATAGTGTTATGCATGAATTATTTCTTAATTTAAAAAATTAATAAAATCATCACAGAAAAAAACAAATTAAAGAAAGAAAGAAAAGACAGTATCTTGTATAATAGCATTAAAAACCACCAAATACTTAGGTATAAACCTAACCAAACATGGAGAAGATCTGTATGCTGAGAATTACAAAATACTGATGAAGGAAATCTAACAAAAACAAATAAATGGAGAGGAATACCATGTTCATAGATTCAAAGACTTGGGTGTTTTTAGGATGTTATTCTCCCTAAACTGGTACACAGATTCAGTATAATTAAAATTCCAGAACCTTTGATAGGAAATGGCAATATAAGTCTGAAATTTGTACAGAAAGCCAAAGGAACTAGAAAAACCAGTTTTGGAAAAGAACAGAGTGGGAGAATTCACAGGACCCAACTTTAAGGCTTACTACGAAACTATGTAATCTGGGAGGTGTATAAATGGCCAAAGGACAGGCCCACAGAACAGTGGGAAAGAACAGAGGCTAGAAAAGATGCACACATGTATAGTCAATTACTTTGCAACAGAGATGATGAGACAATACAGTGGGGAAAGGAGAGTCATTTCAACAAATGGTGCTGGAATATGCGGACATCTGTACACTTAAAAATGAACTTGAATTCCATCATCACTGCAGATACAAAAATTAATTCAAAATGGATCCCAGACCTAAACGTAAAACCTAAAACTATAAAACTCAGTGGAGAAAACATGGGAGAAAATGTTTGTGATCTGGGCTGAGGCAAAGGTTTCTTAGATAAGACACCAAAAGCACATTTCATAAAAGCAGATATTGATAAAGTTCATCAGAAATGAGAACTTCTGCTGTTCACAAGACACTTAAGAGAACAGAAAGCCAAGTCACACACTGGAAAAAAAATATTTGCAAATCACCACAAAGGGTTGACATTGAGGACATAGAAAGAACTCTCACCAACTCAAGGATAAGAAAAAAAAAAAAACCTAATTTTTTTTAAATGGGCAAAAACTGTGGAAGGACACATCACCAAAGATATAGGAACAGTCAATAAGTGCATGAAAAGATGCCCAGTATCGTCAGCTGTTACGGAGATGTGATTTAAACCCATAGTGAGATGCCCCGTCACACCCACTAGGACGGTGTCGCCTTAAAGCAATGACTCTCCTCTGTGGCTGCAGCCTCTCTGGTAAGTCGGGCAGTCTCTTACAAAGTCACACACACAATTCCCTTAGAATTCCCCTCTCGGGAGAGATGCCAACACATCCAAGCAGAATCCTCAACAGCGATGTTTAAGGTGGCTTTACTGAGAACTGCCAAAAACGGGAAACAAACCCAACGTCCTTTGCCAGGGAACGGCTGAGCACACTGCGGCCTGTCCGTGCAGTGGAATGCCAGCCAGCAAAGGAACAGCACTAACTGTACACGGCAGGCAGGGCGGCCTTTACGTGAGAGTGGCCAGTCTGCAAGAGGCTGCACCCTGGGTGGTGCCTTTAAAAGATCTTCTGGAAAAGCTGAGCTACAGGGACAGAAAACAAAATGTGGTTGCCTGGAATAGGGAAGGGCTGGTTCCATCAGAGCACAAGGGGTCTTGGGGGTGACAGACTTCTCCATCTTGACTGTGGTGGGTCTGTGACTGGATGCACTGGTCGAAACTCACAGAACTGTACGCTGAAAAGAGTGATGCTTCCTTTATGGAAACTACACCTTAATTTAAAAGATGAAAAAAAAGAAAACGGAGAAGCTCTTAGAAATCTAAAATACTATATAAGCGTGCAGACACATGGGGGTGCTGTAACCAAGCTGGCCAGGGAATTTTAAAATTATGAAGTGTGGACTGTTAGCCTTTGTTGAAAATCACTTCAGTAATATAAACCACAGACTCTGGGTCCAGATGCATCATCTAAGGTTCATCAGCTGTAAACACGTCACACTCTAGTGTGACATGTTGACAACAGGGAGTATAGGCATGTGAGGGGGTGGAGTGGGGGTGATGTATGGGAAATCTCTGTACTTTCCACTCAGTTTTGCTTTGAAACTCAAATTGCTCTAAAAAAATTAAGTCCATTAAAAAAAAAATCACTCCAAGCAGCATATCAGTTGGCACAAAGGTATCCTTTTCCTTCAAGCCAGGTCTTAAATCATGTTACTTAAGAAATAACCTGCCATTCACCCTACCAGAATAAAAGAAAGGCAATAGAAATAAATATTTAACTAAACTTTATCAAATCATATTATTTTTTCCAAATCATAAACAAAGACTTGAAAAATGGGGTAACACAAACCTTACACACACTGGCGGTCGGTACACGCTGAAACAAAACGTCACTGGGTAACCTAAGGACTGTTTTCATTAAACATCACACAAAGCAGGTTCTCAGATTGTTCAATGTTTTCTGCTGTCATTTTCAATGGTCTCATCAACCTCGTGGTGTGGCTAGAAGATAAGTCACTGAGCCCGTCCTGTAACACTGGGCGATTCAGGCACGTCATTTTTCTCCACAGTCTTTCTCTCACACCCTACAGGTATTTTTTATGACACCAGCCAAGGCCAGGGAACCGTGTGCCAGGCACTAGAAAGAACTGCTTCAGGACAGAATCCAGAAAGGAATTACTGTGTTGAGAGACAGGAATAACTTTATGATTCACTAGAGCTCATAGCTCTGCAAAGGGAATTCTCTAAGTGATCAGCCACCCACACAGAGATCCATGCCTTGGCATGATGGGCGTGACAGTCCCAAAGGCAAATTGGGCCAAACCCCCGAAATGTTTCCTTTAGGACCAAGCTGTGTCTGGCTGGTGAAACTTGTCTCAGAATTCCAAGTTCAGAACTGTTTCAAATGTACGTTATATGTTACCTTTCTCGGGGCTTTCTTTTCATACTGCAAGTACCGCGACTCCACTATCCTTCCACCTGTAAGAGACACACAGTTGGCTTATAATGAAACCACAGCATGAGGTGTTAACGATCCACCAGGTACGCAGGATGCCCACACCCCACCCCGAAAGCTGGGCACTATCAGCCCTCCCTGCTCAGCCTTGAGCATGTATGAGACATCTACTGTATGCAAGAACACATACAAGATACCTCCTGTATATAAGGGCTTCCCAGGTGATTCAGCCGTGAAGAACCTGCCTGCCAATGCAGGAGGCGCAGGAGACGTGGATTTGATCCCTGGGTCAGGAAGACTGCCTGGAGAAGGGAATGGCCACCCACTCCAGTATTCTTGCCTGGGAAATCCCATGGACAGAGGAGCCTGGCAGGCTAGTCCCAAGGGTCACAGAGAGCTGGACATAACTGACTGATGGAACACACACAGACACACACACTCTGTACACAAGTGCTTGGGCTAGAGGCGGAGCCACAGAGACCGGAGGAACTATCAAGGAAGAGCAAGGGGTCTTCCCTGGCGGCTCGGTGGTAGAGAACCCACCTGCTAACGCAGGAAACCGGGTCCAATCCCTGACCCCACACGGCTTGGAGAACTAAGCTGGTGCGCCGAGCCTGTGCTCTGAAGCCCGGGAACCACAGCTACCGAGGCCCCCAGCACCCTACAGCCTGCGTCTGGCAACAAGAGAAGCCACCACAGCGACAAGCCTGAGCACCGTGACTAGAGCGCGGCCCCCGCGCACCGAAACTGGGAAGAGCCCGTGCAGCATCGAAGATCCAGCACAGCCAAAAATAAATAGGTAAATAAAGTTACTTTTTAAAAAAGGAAGAGCAGGAGTACGTGCCAACGGTAAGAACAGAAAGTGGACTCATGGCAGGGCAGGGAAAGGAGGAAAGAGCTTCCAAGGTGGCCACCTAGGAATTCCCTGGTGGTGCAGTAGTTAGGACTCTGGGTTCAATACCTGCTTGGGGGAACTGAGATCCCACAAACCCTGCCGCATGGCCAGAAAAAGGAAAAAGGCAAAGATGGCCACCTGTTTACTTTCTCCTCCCGCCCCAACTTGCTCTGTGTGCTGTGACCCCCAGCTGCCCTTCTCCCACTCAAGCCCGCCTATGACCCAACCATGGTACTGCCTTTTACATCCCCCAAACCCACTCCTACCTCAGGACTGCTCCCCTGAGACTCACTCAGTACCAATACCCTTCTGGAACACAGCCATATTCGCTGGTGAAAGTCCAGCCCCACGTCCCCTTCCTCACCTGACCCTGGGACACTGAAGGTGGATGGAGGAAACCCACATGTCCCCTCCATCCTCTAGGGGCTCTCACTGCACGCCCAGTGCTCACCCCGTCCTCTGCTCTGACCCTACACCTCCTACCCCAGGCCATCCCTCTGGTCAGCCGGTGACACCTTCCCTACTTCACCGGGAAGACAAAAGCAGTCCCAGGAGGTCTGCCCATGTGGGCATCCAGCTGCCTCCCAACCTCAGGGCCATACCCTGGGCTCCCCCATGTGATGGAACTTCTGTGCTTGGGGGTAAAGCGAACCCCCAGCTCTGGGTGCTGGGGCCCAGCCCTTACCCAGTTAGGAAACTGCCCTGGCAAACCGACTCCCCAAGCACTGCCCTATATCGCCCCACTTCCTCTCTCCAAGGGTCACACTGTTCATTCTCTCTGCACTCCAACCCTCGTCCCCTCCCACTTCTCTGCTCCCCTTTACTATGCCGGCTCCTCCTCCTCTCCTCCCCGCTTCCCTGGAATCCCCCCACTCCCCAGTCTGGCCCTCACAATCACAAGGCCACCAAAGAAATTCCTTCCGGCCAGCCCCGAGATGTCCGAGCTCCGAAGCCCAGTGGGCCGCTCTCAGTGCTCGTTCTGAGGCAGCAGCAGTGGGCAGCACGCGGGCCGCACCCTCCTCTCTGACGCACTGTGTCCTCCAGGCTCACCGCCCTGCAGCAGCTACAACAGGCTGTCTGTGGGTCCCGTGTCCCCTGTTCCTCAAGCTAGCAGGCTGGAGGTAGGGCTGCGGTCACCCCAGGCGTGCCCCAGGCAGGGAAGAGCCGTGCCTGCAGGGAGAGTGGGCTCACTCAGACAGTCAGGCAGGACGCACCAAGGTCAGAACAGGCAGGGTCCAGGGCGGAGAATCAAGCCACATGTGGGCTCGGCCGCCAGGTGTCCGGCAAGGGACTGGGGCAAAGGACACCCCCAGTTCCAGGTGGAGGAGACCATAATGTGCCGGGTCTAATACCATCAACAAAGGATTTGATTCACCTAGGAAGGAGATTCTGGGTTCCCTGCACAATTGAAAAAGTTTCAAGTTGCTGGAAAACTAGAATGCACCTGCTTATTCTCAACAGTGATGGGTTTCCCAAAGAAGCAATGTTACAAGGAAGGATATAATTTGTGTCCAAGAACTAGACCATGTGTAAATAGGACAGATGTTACAGACCAGGTAACATAAACCTCCAGTCGCTGGGGAACTAGAATTCTGCTCCAAATTCTCTGAGAGCCACACTGATGCAGGGCATAAAAATACTTCAGCCTAACAGAGGCTTGAGCTGCAACGTGGGAGAACCTTGGGTCTACCACCCAAACTGGGTACTGCCAAGAGTCAAGAAGGGCTGTTGACGGTGACCCCAGACACACAGGAGGACTTCAGACACATGGGTACCCCTGAGAGACTGATACACTTATTCAGAAACAAACTGTGATGTTTTATAACATATTCAGCTCAGACTCTCCTCACCCACTCTCACCAGTGGGTGTGTCCTTGGCACAAGCCGACCCGAATGGCCGAAAGGCCCACTGCCCTAAGCAACCCCCACCAGGTCCTGCTGCACCCTTGGCTGCAGGGCTGGGTGACCAAACTCACGGTCCCCAAAGGTGTGACTAGAAAGAAGGAAAGTCCCAGCTCTCCTGCTCTGACCTGTTTTTTCCTTTTTCCCCAGAAGCACTTACTGTGGGGGCGGGGGGCAGAGCGGGGGTGGGGGATCACTTTTTTTTTGGCTGAGCCTGCAACATGTAGGATCTTAGTTCCCTGATCAGTGCCCACTGACTTCAGTTCCACAGAAGTCCAAAACTCACTTAATTTCAGTGGATTCCATTTCAAAAGATAGATTCTCCAATGTTACTCACCTTGTGTTCTTCCTTTGCTCCTAGCACCCCTGGTAGTACTGGGGCCCACGGCAGGAGGCTTCCTAAAAGAGAGAAACGGGGGAGGGAGGTCTTGTTAATGCAGGTGGATAAAAAGCTCTGGGAAGCCACCCAGGAGGCTGGGCTTCCTTGGGATAGCCTTGTCCCAGCACCCACCCCTCTTGCCCATCTCTGCAAGGTGGGGCCACCTCCACGGGATGAGGGATTCTGAGTCCCAGCCTTGTCACCCGGGGAAAACACCTGAGAAGAGCAAGCTTTCCTTTGCTGGCTGAGCCATGTGGCATGCGGGACCTCAGTCCCCCCACCAGGGATTGAACCCAAGCCCCCTGTGACTCAAGTGTGGAGTTTTAACTGCTGGACCACCAGGGAAGGCCCAAGGTCGAGCATTTTTGCCGAGCCTGAACGATCTCAACTTCATTGATTCATCAGATGTTTGTGTGCCAACTGTATACCACTGAGGATACAAGGTAAATAGTAGTCTAGGTTTCTCCTCTGAGAGGGATAACCAGCAATTTCCTATCAGGCAAGTGTGAAGAGGGAACGCCCAAGACCGGTAAAGGGGTGGGGGTTGGGGGTGAGTGACAAGTACCATTAACTCACATACATGACGAAGGACATTCCCAGACAGGGATCATCAAGGTCAAGGGCTCAGGAACCCTTGAGGAGAGGGCACAGAGAATGATGTGGAAACTGGAATCGATAAGACCCAGTGTCTCAGGAGTAAAGAATCTACCTGCCAATGGAGGAAACGTGGGATTGATCCCTGAGTCAGGAAGACCCTCTGGAGGAGGAAATGACAACCCGCTTCAGTATTCTTGCCTGGGACAATCTCACGGACGGGAGGCCTGAAGTTGCAAAAGAGTTGGACACAGCTTAGCAACTAAACAATAAGAGCCCTATGGCTTAGCTGGAGAAGACTGAATTCAAGGAGGCGGTGAGGGATGATAGAAACACTGCATCCCAAGAACGAGGTGGGCAGGAGGTACTTGATAAATATTTGTCAGATGAATAACTCAGGAGTGCTTGCTGAAGGGCAAGTCTGACCCCTAGGAGACATTTGTGAACGCCCGTGATGGTCACAACAGAAGGGACTGCTATCAGCCTAGTGGGGGAGACCAATGCTCAACACCCTGCAATGCACAGGACTGTGCCTATCACAGAGATGACCCTGCTCCAGATGTCAACACTACCAAGGTTGGGGGACCCCTGATGTGGTGAAGGAGTGATTGGCAGCGTGGGAGGCAAGTCTGCTGCAAAACTCCTGTCAAAAAATTACAAACCCTGATGGGAGTCAGGGGGAGAATGAATACATGTTTGTGTATGGCTAATCCCTTCGTTGTTCACCTGAAACTATCACAACACTGTTAATCGGCTATACCCCAAGACAAAATTAAAAAAAAAAAAGAACCCTGAATATTCTTCAACCCTAAAAAGGAATGAAGTACTGATACGTGTTGAAGCAAATAAATCTCAAAAATGTTGTCCTGAGTCAAAGAAGCCAGGCACTTAACATCACGTGTTGCATGATTCCATTGATAGGAACTATCCAGAACAGGCTAATCCACAGAGACGGAAAACAGAGTGCTCAAGAGAGAAGGACACACATATATGTATGTAATTATGCCTGACTTGAGTTGAGGTATGGCAGAGAACACTACAGCGGGATGCCAGGCAGGGGTCTGGCCGCTGTCAATCCTCCTGACGTCACAAGACAGGCTCCACTGGTGACAGCGGTGCTGGGCCCCTTGTTCAGCTCAGGGTGGCCAGCTTCCGGGTTATGGGCCCTGATCCAAGGTGAGACCCAGGCCAGGGCCGGGGCACCTCCAAGCCACAGTGGGGAGACGCAACTTAACAAACGCTGGCTGGGGGCCAGGTGCTCTGCTCCTTCATGGAGTGTTCCCAGCCCCGCAGACACCTAACTGTTGGCCTGCTTTCTCTCTGTTTTCCAGACAAGGACCTGGGATTTATACAGGCCACTCCTAGGGAGTCTCAGAGCTGGAAGGAGACAGAGTAAAGATTCCCTCTGGGCTACTCAGGTGGTGCTAGTGGTAAAGAACCTGCCTGTCGATGCAGGAGATAGAAGAGACGAGGGCTTGATCCCTGGGTCGGGAAGATCCCCTGGAGGAGGGCATGGCAACCCGCTCCAGTATTCTTGCCTGGGGAATCCCATGGACAGAGGAGCCTGGCAGGCTACAGTCCAGAGAGTCTCAAAGAGTCTGACATGACTGAAGACTTAGACAGACAGAAAGACACACACGGATTCCCTCTGGGGTCTGTGCCAGGGCTCTGGAGACAAAGCAAAGGGACTTAGGCCAAACCTGCAGGGACCTGGAGGGTTGGGGAAAGGGTGGCACTACACCTGTGCCAGCCTCAAGTGCTTCCCCCAAACTTCAGAGAGGCTAATGTCAACCTCACGGTTAGGACAAGGGGCTATGGAATAAACACAAGTGATTTATTTCAGGCGGCCCGCTAAATTTTCATGCGCACAGGCACAATAAACCATGGTGGAATAAACAAAGCCTTGTGAGACATGGTGTATTTCCTGTCATAGCAATAAACAAGGACGTCCCAGTCATCAATGATTCCAGTCCTCCAGGGCACTCAGGAAGGAGACAAATACAAAGGCAACCCAGCAGCCATTAGGCCACAGCAACTCCATATGGGGAGCCCTGAAGAACTCAGTGCAGGATACTGGCCCTAGATAGTTGAGATGAATATGAAAGGAATGATTTCAGTGAGCCTAGAATCTTGCATCTTCCCCTACATATAAAAGCACTAGATTCCTTAATTTGAGACACCTGGTTTTCTTTAATTCACAATAATCTCTTGACGTTCAGGCTACCTGCCCTTTGTTACCAACCGTTGAGTCCTGCCCCCAGGTCACCAGAGGCCTTGCACCAAGACCACAGACACGAAGCCCAGAACCAAGGTCACCTCTGAAATTGACTGAGCCCCTTTGGAACCACTGCTAAAAGCCCACCCGCCATGATCATCACCAGCAGGCTTCCAGATCCCGAATTAGGCACAAAAAATTAGGTACAGCCCACAGCTGTACTCACCCTAAGGTGCCCTAACCAATCACCTAACGCCAACCTTCCAGCAGGAATTTTCTTGGTCTTGAGGCTATAAAACTTGGCTATTAATCCATGAAACCTGTCAACCCACTTGCTGCATTTGCAGCGCCCTCATTATCTCTGCTCTTTGCTCTTAATAAACTCACTCCCTTCTGAAATGCTCTCTGTCTGGAAATTCTTTCCCAACTGGAGCTCAGACTGCCTCAACACAAATTTTCATATTACTTGACTCCTCCCTGTTCCTTCAGAGCAGTTTTCTCACGGTTACCTGAGATGCTGCCTCCCAGGCTTAAGTCCTAAACATTTCCGCTGAATAAAACATAACTCTCAACTTCCAGGTTGTGACTGTTTTTTAACTTGACACCCGGAATCACACCTGGCAAGAGGGAAGTATTCCACTTCTGTCTCTTGCTGTGTGAGCCTGGGCAAATGGTCTTTCCTCCCGAAGCTTCCATCGTCTCATTTGTAAATGAGGAACACAGGATTTAAAAAAAAAAAAAAAGTAGATGAAAGGAGATATTTCAGCGGTTCAACAGCTGTCCACTACAAAAAAGATAACTGGAAGAACTACGATCACATTTAGTAGCGAGGCACGGCTCTAAACGCTGTAAACCTCACACAAGGCGGCGGCGTCATCAGCCAGGTTTCTCCAGGGAGGAAAGCGAGGCACAGAGAGGTTAAGTCACTCGCCAGAGAACGCCCCGGATGGAAACTTCTGACCAGGGACTCGAACTCGTCATCGGGTCCTGCGCCCACGCTCCCCAGCATGCACAAGGCCGCGTCCCACCTCCCAGAACCCGCGCAGCTCGGTGGTTCTTGGAGGGGCTCAGATTCGAACTCACCCCGAGGACATTTACCTCCCCAGCTCTGCGGCCCCTCAGTCCCCAGACCTCGACCAAAGCCCTCCAGCTGACACCCACAAACTCAGGTCCGCACAACTTACGCAGCGCCCCGCCCCGAGGTATCCGCCATTTTCCCGCCTTCAACTCAAAGGTCGGCCTCTCAAGTCGAACCCCCCGCCCTCTCCCGGACCAGGCCATATCGCGACTCGGCAAGAGGGGTGACCGTGAGTAGAGCGGCGGCCTCCTGCGCGCGCGTCTCTCTGGCCTCCCCTCACACTTGGTTTCGCCCACCAGCGGCAGGGGGCGGGGGCACGGGCAAGAAGTCGGAAGCGAGGGGCGGAGATTCGTGGCCCTCCGCCCCCTGGCGCTTTTGCGTCACGCCCCCCCGGGCCCGCCCCTCCGGAACCCGGAAGCCGGAGCGCGCGGGGGAGCGGCGGGCGCGGCGGGGCGGAGCGGCCAGACTAGCAGCGGGCTGGCGGCCGGGCGGGGACCTGGCCCGGGACCGGCGGCGCGCGGCGGCCGAGGCCCAGGTGAGTGCCTGGCGGCCGCGGGTTCAATGTTCTATCTCGAAGCTCGCACCGGCGGGCTGCCTTCCCGAGAAAGACGGGACTAAGGGTTAGTGGGGAGGGGTCTCGCGAAGGCAGGGGTCGAGGGGGCGGGAACGAGCTTGAGGGTCTTGAAAGTTTGCAGGAGGCGGAATGGGAACAGGACGTTAAAGGAGAAAGTTGATGTGATGGGCCTGGTGAGGGAGTTTTTGGGCGGGTGTGAGGGCAGATCTTGTGGCTTTGATCAGCTTCTCTGAAGAGGACGTGGCTTAAGTGGTAGTTGGGGGGTCGCAGGAAACGGGGCCGGGAGAGAGAACGGCAAGGAGGCGGGGTTGAGAGGCCCAGGCTGGGGGTTGAGAGAGCGAGGCCGGTGGGGGAACAGCCGGGGTGCGTTGGGAGGAAGAGGTGTAGGACGGCCTGGGGGCGTCTGCTTACGGTGAAGAGGTAGACGGATGGTGCCTGAGGGAGGGCAGCGCCTGAGACTCACTGGGTGCTCAATGTGAGGTGCTCTGGACCCACTGGTGCGGTGGCCGCCGGTACGAGGGGAAATGGGGGATGGGAGAGGAGGCAGAAAAGGGGTAGAAGCCTTGGCGAAAACCGAGGTCTGGTTCAGGGAGAGAAAGGGGAGGAGGGGGAGGACAGGACTAGAGTGGCCCGGTTCAGATGTTGGCGTGCACCCCATGGAGATTGGGGAAGGGACGCGTCTTTCCCTCTTGATTCAGCTTATTACTGGCATCACCCGCCAACTGCTGGGTGACCCAGGCTAGTCCCAGAGCCTTCTGAGCGATATTCAGAACTTGAAAACCGAGCACACTCCTTCTAAGACTGGACTGGCTGGAGCCTGGGGATTCTAGGGAGCAAGGAAGGAGCTCTTGGGCCCCCGCTTTGGGGCCGGAACTGGGTTTCAGAGGCGAGGGGGTGGGTGTGCACACACCCACATGTGCTAGGCTGTCACCACCTCCTCCCAGTTGCATCCTTGGACTTAAATGGGTAAAATGACATACAGGAAATCTGTTCCCCAGCGGCCGAGAGCTCAACCCAGGACAGGCACAGCCTCTGGTGGGCTCTCTGTAGACCAGCAATCTTTAAGGGGAAGCCTCTCCCACACCTCTGTCTGAGGTGGGAGCTGCTGGGGGACATGTGCCTTACAGTTGAAGGGTACCAGCTCCTACCTCCCTGAGGTATGCCCTGGTCTTGGAGTCCCCAGACTCTCAAGGCATCCGGGGGCATGGAAGATGACATGGCCAGCTGGAAAAGTTGTCTGATGGACCTGGCTCTGGCAAGGGCCTTGCACTAAACAGTTTTTTTTTTTTTTTAATCTGACTGCATCACACAGCATGTGGCATCTTAGTTCCCCAACCAGAGATTGAACCCAGGTCCCCTGCATCGGGAGCTCAGAGTCCCAAGCACTGGACCACCAGGGAAGTCCCTGCACTAAATGGTTTTGATCAGCATTAATTTCTTCTCTTTCCCAACCCTGGGGATCCTTGTCTGGAATCTGCTAGAAGGGCTAGAGAGCCTGGATTTATAGCATGTTCAGGACAGGAGTCTGGATAGCTTGAATGTGAAGAAGGCCATGAAAAGATAACCACCCCCTTCACTTCCAAAATGTTCTGGCCCTTAGGGAACCTTTGTAAGCGAGACTCTCAGCCTTGTTTCCCCAGAACACATGATTAGAGCCCACAGTCATGCCTCCTGCAGGTTTTGCGTTTGGACTTGCCCTGGCCGGGACTCCCCCGCCACCCCACCGCCCCGTCCCCCCTGCCCTCACCCTCTCCCTTCATGAACTGGACCAGAATCTTCTGGTTCCAAAGCCCTGCTATTGTCTCCTTCCCGTACGAGGAGTGTGGCCAGGCACATTCTCATGGAGGGTCCTGTGTTGGGGGTCCTAACCTCCAATCAAATCTCTTTGTCTTTCTCCACCTGCAAAATGAGTGGATTGGCCTAGTCAGTGTCTCTCAACTTAAAAACCCAAACCCTGGCTTCTCCAGCACGCAGCCTCCTCTAATTTTATGCAGCCCCTGACAGATGAATCCCCACTGCAATAATCCCTCTTTTCCATCCTACAGTTTATATCTCAAAATGATTATTGTACCACTCCCTTATCTTCCATGTAGAAAATTGCAGTGCCAAACGTGCTTTCACACGTCGTACCTGTTCCCAGGGTTTCAGCTGCATCCTTCTGGCTGAAAATCCCTGGTTGAGACCCTCTGTTGAGTCCAGGCCTGTGACTCAGAGAAGCAGGTGGGGACTTGGGAATCTCCCTTTTCTATTTCACTGTAGGATCCGTTCTCTATCCCCAGGGGAGGGGGGCTTGTTAACGTACTGCTTCCCATTCCTTGTCTTCCTGAAGTTGTGTGTCTTGGGTGGGTCCAGAGTTCAGTAAAGCAAGGGCTGACTGTGTCAGACGCTGTGGACTGAGTGCCAGGGACGAGGACGGGCCCTCACGCCCTGATGGAAGGACATTCTAGTGGGCCACCCTCCCCCACAGGCGTGATGGAGTTCACAGTAACTGGTCAGTTCAGTAGCAGAGATGACACAAGAAGCTGTGGGGACAGAATCAGGAATGACCAGCTCAAGTTTCAGGGCATGGGGGATTCCAGTAGGTTTCCTCGGAAGAGGTGGCTGGCCGCAAGCCAAGCCTTGAAGGATATGGAGGTGTTGAACCAAGCCGGAAGAGGGAACCACATAAGTACGTCCCTGTGTGGCTCTTCAATGAACATCTTCTGTGATAGACACTTTCATACCCAGTTCTCTTACTCTGCCAGGCATCAGCAGGGAGACTGTGGTTCCCGTTTACTAGATAGAGTGAGGCTATAAACTGAGGCTCAGGAAGGTGATGACTTCAGAGATGGCTCCCTGTGCTTTCCAGAAGCGTGAAGGATCATTAGAAAGCTCAGTTTGCTAAAGACCAAATTATTGGAACAGTGTCTCGACTGCAACACCATTGGCATCTGGGGCCAGGTCATCCGTTGCTGTGGGGGCCACCCTGGGCCTTATAGGATGTGGAGCAGCAGCCCTTGCCTTCACACACAAGATGCCAGTAGTACATACCCACCTCAAGTCGTGACAACCAGAAGTGTCTCCAGACATGGTTTGTGTGTCCCCCCAGGGACAGGAAGTCTCTAGTAAAAGCTGGTTCCTGCCACCAGGCCTACCATCACCTCAGTGACTCTTTGGTGTTTGTTGGACTCCCAGCAAATTGCTGCCAAGAGCAGGCGTGGGGAAAAGAGGCCAGCAACTGAATTTTGCCTTCCACTCAGTTCTTAATCTGGAGTCCTGATAAAAAGGAGACACCACTGGGAATGGACCAAGGGGGAGTTAGGGAACGTGCCCTGAGAATGTTGCATGGAGGAGGAAGAGGAGGTGAGCCGGAGCACTCGTCATTCGCTGGCACAGCAAATGCCATTGTCTTTCTCTTCTTTGTCTTCCCACTGACCTGGATTTCTGCAGGCACCGTCCTTGTCTCAGAACAAATGGTTGCTTTTCTTCCGAGATTAGAGGTATTCGATTCTCTTCTCAAAGAGCTCCTTTGGAGGCAGCCCCATATCACTGTGGCTCTCGAAGCCACATTATCTTCTCCCGTTTGCCCTCCTGGCTCCAGACACAGGTCCATCCTCAGGCACAGGCTGTCTAACTTTTGCTCTCTGTGCATCCTCCTCTGCTTGCTCCCCGACCTTGACACTGCTGCTTTAACTCCAGGGGCAGAAAGGGCACATTCTGGGGCCATCCGACCCCTTCTGAAGGCCGCCCTCCCCCCAGCCCCCATCCACCGGCCCTTTGTGCAGCCAGCATCCCCAATCAGCTGTGCCAGGCAGCCCCTGCTCGGCCTCCCCGCCGAGCAAGACAGGCCCTTCTCTCTGCCCTCGTCCCGGAGATGGAGGAACAGAACAAAGGGCTCTGTCTGAGCGCGGCCGGGGCCCCCAGCAAGCCAGCCCGCTGCCGGCTGCAGCTCAGAGACCCCCACTTCACCTCGTTGCCTGTTTCATTTTGGCCCCCAAAGGGCTCCAGAGATTAGGCACGTCTCAAAAACGCAGCCGATGAGTTTGGGTTCTACTCATTTCCTCGTCGAGACTCTGAGCCTGAGTCCTGATGATAAATAAAGTAGTGATTCAAGGGTTCAGCCTGTGGCTTAGTCGAAGCAATGAATAAGCTGCCCTGGTCTGACTCATTCGTTTACATCCCAGCTCTGCCCTGTTTCTTGAGGTTGTGTGTGTAAGAGGGAAGCCAGCTCCGAGTGTTTCATGACTGTCACTGCCGGCTGTGTGGGTTTCCTGGGGCCACAGTAGCAAAGTACTACAGCTGGGTAGCTTAAGCAACAGAAGCATATTGTCTTGTGGATCTGGGGGCCAGAAATCCAGATCAAGGTGTGAGCAAGGTTGGGTCCTTCCAGGGGCCTTGAGCAAAGGATGCACGCAGGCCTCTCTCCTCAGCTTGTCAATCGCCGTCTTTTCTCTGAGTCTTCACCGCATCTGTGCGAGTCCATGTCCAGTTGCCCCTTCGGATCAGTGCCCATCCTAGTGACCTCATTTTAACTGAATCACCTCTTTAAAAGCCCTGTCTCCAAGTACAGACACATTCTGAG